CCTTGTCATGAGGTAAACATTTCCCAGCAGAGAGTTTCCTTCATTCCAGGTTCATGCCCTTCTCTTCGTTCATAATGTCACGCAGCTTCACAGACTTCACTGTATTTCATTAACGGAGAGAAGGAGACGGAGGGAGAGGATGGATTCGCTCCCTCTCTCCTCCGGCCTTATAAAGCCAACCTGAGGACTTGCCACTGCCAGTTCCCCAGCCGCTCATCCAGACAAGTGATTTGTACTCTCATTACTCATCCTGACACAAAATTACAGTATTCACCTCTCGGCCACGGAGCCCCTTTATGAGTTAATTGATTTGTTCGGCTGAAATCTTACATGTTTGGGATGATTCAACATTTCAGAGTGTCGCTCCGATTCTTTGTTCTCACTTTTCACTCAAACGCTTCAGCTCACCAGCGTGAAAAAACCGAGACAACAGACGTTCAGCCCGAGGGGACGGCTCTGCTCCAAAGTCCAAATCTATTAGAGCCAATACAGGAACATTAGAATGAAAATAATTATCACATCAGAGAAGAGAAGGTCTCAAGACACACTGATCACAGGTTTGGTTTGTTTTTAACATTTAACAACCGTGATATTTAGGAACAAAAATATTTGAAACATCGTTAAAATGGTAATTAATTGAAATAGACATCTTCTCTACAATGTTGGAGACTTCGCAGTGATAACAGGAGCCTGTTATCCCAAACCGCCCCCAACAACTTTACTGTCAAACTGCTGATAAAATGCTGTTTATTTGACCGTTGGACATATGAGACGTTTTGGGCAGCCCTCTTCGGACTCTCGCAGTTTTTCTCTTTGTGATCTAATATTTATGATTTATTGTGAAATTACAAGAACCACACAATTTCATAAATCACTGAGGATAAAAGGAAAGCCAAAAAACATGCACCGCCCTCAAATATCGATATTCCTTGTTTTGGTCCGTCCACGTTTCTGCCTTGTTTGGTTTGTGAAAGCAAAGAACCTTCCACAGCTTCTTCTTCTTTGTCAGCTGCCACACCGGTTCTGGAGGAGCTGATCGGTACGTCCAGTGTGAGAACATAAATAATGAGCTTTGGCTTTTCATGGCTGAAGCTTTGATCGACATCTTCTCCGCTGAGACTTCTTGTAATACCATCACAAAATGAGACGTATCAGCAGACCTGTACGCCTGACACCGCTGTAGTGGAAATAAAAATCTTGTTTAATATAAAACAGAAAATCAACAAATGTTAACAAGGTTTAACTTTAAATGTAGGTGTGTCATTCATAGTCGAACAGGCTCAGGGGTTAAATTCCCTGTTGTCAGATCCAGCTTCACTCTCAAAGGTAGAACCCCTGTTTCACACATGACAAAGGAAACTGCTGATGAAGGAATAAAACAGGAATTTAGCCCGAGGGTGAAGCTGCTCTTCAAAGAACAATACTCACAGTCCATTGGCTGAGTCTCATCAGAAAGATTTCCAGCAGAAATACAAATGAAAAGAGGAATAAAAGCCCAGAAGCCCTCTGAGCCGCAATATTCATGTCAATACCAAATTAGCATCGAATAATGGCATCCATTTCCTCTTTCACTGACGATCACCTGTAGAGACGTTGTCATGTAGCAGAGCACTAAAGCCCCAGAGAGGAGAGGACCCTGTGGCCCTTCATATCCTGTCAGTAGGAGATTCAATTAAAGCATTACTGTTGTGTCGCAGGGGGTCAGGCATTGTCACAATCAGTCACAACTTTCATTTCGACAGCTGCACATTTTACACAAAGATGAATGAACGTCAACAACAACCAAAAAAACACTGTGATTTATTTACAATCTGCAAAACAAAAGAAAAAAAGTGGGAAATAGTTTTAATATTTGTGACGTCATCCTCACAGTATCTACAAAAGTTTAACCACAAAATCTTTGTGTATTCTGTGGGCGACTGGAAAATGAAGAAGCACATTTTATTCCATAGGTTTTATTGTACTAGCAGCAGCGATGGAAGAGACATTATAATATATAATTTACTTAAAGCGAACAGACATAGCAGAACATGTGTGTTTACCTGTGACTGTTTCTGAATTCAATCGGTTGTATTTGTGTTTGCAAATTGCCTCCAAAGTGGGACTAAGAAAGGATTATCTTAGTTTCTTGTATCTTAGTTTATCTTATTTTAACTTATTTATTTGTTTAATCTGTAAAATATCAAGCTACAATTACATTTCTTCTTCTTAACGGTTTGATAACAACATCTTTGGAATAATTTGTTTGCATCATCTGATCCGCAATTTTTGACTCTCTTATATTTGCATCTGCCCCCAAAAATCCCTGATGGTCATTCTAACAGATGCAGGATATAATTTAGCTAAAGGCTCCGGTAAAAATGTGACATTTTCAAATATTTCCATCTGAATTGCAGGAAAATACTTTACCTGCGATTCTTCAGAAACCCCCCCCCCCCCCCCCTGGTTTTAAATATTTGGCTGCATACAAACATTCTGCTGATCACAAACATCCGAGGAGCGACCAGATTAACGGCGTGCGATCAACAATGAAACATTTCTCTCCGTGTCTCCCTCCTGCACAAATACCTACATAATCCAATCCATGCTCATTTATGTTCTCGCTGTTGTGTCAGGCATGTGAACGCAGCACGGCGACAATGAAACACCTCTGAACAATGCATATAATCTCAAGCTTTCTGTCCCCCTGGTAATCCTCTGCCGTCTAATTTCAACATCACCAGCTCTCTTCCAGTGTCAGAATATGCAGAGGAGGCTCGTTGGTTGGTTGTTGTTGCACCTGGTGCGTCTGAGCTGGAAACCTGATCGTCGGCAGGTACAAGAATAGCTCGACGGGATCGCGGAGGCCGCTCCCCTGACCTGCAGTGAACTGTCATTGAACTTCGGTCCCCGCTGAGGACACAACAGCGCTCTGTGTTTGTACGAGCGTGTATTTCTGGACTCACCTTTCTCGGAACTCGCTGCTCAAAAGGTCTTGACATTTTGACAACTGATGGTTTTTCTTTTAAAGGTGTCACATGTTGGATTTTAACACCAGTAAATCTTATCTTAAGTACAAACAAGGCCGTCCGTCATGATTTCTGTCTCGTTTATGTCATACTCCACCTGTCCAACAGATGTCCCCGGAGCTTATACCCGCTGATCCGTCTGCTCACCTGGTTTCTTTTTACTTTTACTGGAACTTCCACACCCTCATCCACACCTGCTCCTGTTTCCTTCATCTGCTCCCCTGTATTTACAGTTTACTCATTTTCTCCAGTCGGTCATTAGATCGTTTGTTGAATTTCTTTGTGCAGCTGATTCACAGAGTTCATGTTACATCTACGTAGCGTCTGCACCCGTCTGCCGACCTGTTCCTGAGTCTGTGTGTGAGCTGACCTCATCACTGAAACTAGCCTTCATGTGGCTACGTCCTGATTGATGTGGGTCATTTTCAGAATGAATCAGTTATGCGATTTTCTCTTTTTTTAAAGATATTTAGCTTTTTACTGACAGGACAGTAAGTGAGAAGTGGGGACGGAGAATTACGGAAGAAACACAGCAAAGTACCGGGTCAGAACTGAGCCCACTTCAGGACTCAAATCTGTGCCCGCGCTAAGGTGAGTGAGCCGAAGCCCCACCTTTGCTATTTTCATTCAGAAATCAGGTTTTAGACTTTTGGAAAGGCTGTTGGTCACATTTTAGTTTTAAAAGTCTGGCTGGACACAAACAGAATCCTAAATCAGTGGCTGCTTCTTTTAGAGGCTGCATCTGAAGACCGATGGTGTCGGTGCCCCGTGACCAGGCTCGAAGACTCTTTTAAATCCGTCCTTCCATTCCGGAGCAGCAAAGGATGCAACCGGTAAATCCCTCTCGGACCATTCTATTCCAGGATTGATAGCATGCTGGTGACGAAGCTAACGGGCTAGCTACGCGGGCTGCCAAGCTGCAGTCAGTGCAGCCGCTCAAAGTAGATAATGTTGGTGTCGAAAAGCTGATGACACAAAGAGGAAAGTCTCAGTCGACCAGACTTTTAGTTCAGACGTCACAGAACAGTCGACTTTTTAGACTAGAAGACTTTCACTGTTGTATTAAACTATTGTATCAGTATTAAAAAACAAATATACAGTGGTGAGGTAAGTACTAAGATATTTTACTTAACTTCAAAAGTACACATATATAGACAAAGCACCACATCAACTTATACTTGAGTAAAAGTAATGTAGTGCTTGCTGTTAAATGTACTTATTTATTAAAATCTTAAAAGTACAAATACTCACATCTGCCTTTTCCCAGACATTTTTTCTGCAGATTTAATACTTTTGATATTTTGTTAACAATACTTATATAGGTTTCTTTGAAAAGTACCCAAAACTAAATGTACTAAAATAAAGTACAGCTATATGAAAAATAAACTGAAGTAATAAGGTAAATATTACATCCCATCACTGCAAATAATAAAGTATCTTTAACTGGAGACATTCTTTCTGCTGATTTAATACTTTTTTGTTAACAATACTTATATCGGCTACTTTGAAAAGTACCCAAAAATAAACAAGTATAGATGAAATGAAAAATTAACTGAAGTACAGCAATGCAGTAAATGTACTTTGTTACATCCCCCCACTGCAAACAATAACATATGATATACTAGAGTCGTTTTTTTTCTGCTGATGTAATACTTTTGATATCTTGTTTATAGGCTACTTTGAAAAATACCCCAAAATAAATACCAGTTCCACTGAAAAAAATTTAGTACTTTTATTAATATAATTATATGATGAAAAAAATGAAAGTACATATATTTGCTGATATATAAAGTGGAGTAAAAATGAAAAAAAAGTACTCAAAAATAAATCTTCAGTGAAGTACAGATACATGACATTTGCATGTAAGTACAGTAAAGCAGTAAATGTACTTTTTTCACATCCATAACAGACAAAAGAATTTCTGGAGATTTTACAGACTTTGACATTTTGTGAAGAATACTTAAATGGACTACTTTGAAAAGTCCCCCCAAAATAAAAACTGAAGTACACTAATAGTAGTAAAAGTACCTTTTCACATTTACCACTGAAATAAATCAAATACAAATGTTTCTGCTGATTTTGATGTTTTGCTCAGAAAACGTCTACAAGCTTCTTTTTTCTGACTCGTGTCTTTAACGCAGATTTACTTTACGTTGGTTTACTGGTACTTTAATAGATGAAATACTCTGAACTCTCGCTCTGCTCGCGGACACATCACTCTCTACTTCTTTAATCCGTCACGTCCACCTGCAGACGAACGCTTGGCCGCGTCCCACCTCCTTATTTCGGGCAGAGAGGAGGAGGAGGAGGCGACAGCTCCCGGAACATGTGCGAGCGCCACAAACAAACCCATGTGCGGCCGGTAGGAGGGGCCACGTGCTGAGGTGTTCCCAGAAGGTGATGCCGTAAAGGCGGGCCAGTGTGTCGCAAACCAGGTGTTTCCTGCGCGAGGGGGAAGGTGATGTCGTAAAGCGGACGGGGTGAGGAGGGGGTGAGGAAGGAGGAGGGAGGAGGAGGAGGAGGAGGGAGGAGGAGGGAGGAGGTGACGAGCGAGCGGCTGCGTTTCAGACTCAGCGAGAGGATCATGGCGGATGGCCCCAGGTGTAAGCGCAGAAAACAGGCGAACCCGAAGAGGAGCAGCGGTAAGTCCCAACTCCTCCGCGGCCGCTTCTGAGCGCCCCGGGCCGGCCGCCGGAGCCGTCCCCCCCTCGGTGAACTCCTCCCGGAGAGTTTGCGGGAGTGAGTTGGGGACGTTTCGGGGAGTTTTTTCTGGACTCTCCGCGTCCCAGGGTGGTGGTGGACCGTTATACCTGGCTGGCTCCTCCGCCTAGCGGTGCATGGGGCCGCCCGGAGGAGCGAACCGTTATCCGCCTGCTATAATAACCCGAGGAGCGCTTCACTCTCCTCCGCGGTTCTTCTTCAACACTTTTCTCCATCTTTGTTTCTCCACTTTTCTGCCACTTTCCCACGCACAGCAACTCTTGGCGGCAGGTTGCGGGGCTTTCTCATAACAACGTGGCCCGTTCAGCGCAGTTTGTAGTTTTTTTTTTTAAGTGGATGGATTTTTTTCAGGGCGAGGTTTGTTGCGGGATTAGTTTTCCCCTCTCGGCCCCGGATGCTTCAGCGTCTCTCCCCCGGTCAGAATAATTCAACTTTAGCCGTGAGAGCTCTCCACCGGACGGTGAATCGTGTTGTCGCCGCTTATCGCAGTGGATTTTCTGCATGGGGTTTGGTTTAGTGTGGGTGCACCGCTGCTCCGGTGATGGCTAAAAGAGATGGGATGTTTATTTGATCGCCTCTTCACCCCTCCCTGCTGCATCTGCAACACCACATGTTCCCTTTAGCGAAGGTAAGAGTGTCGAGTCTGCAAAAGTACCTTTATTTCCACCTTTGTGCGCGTTTCCTTATCATCTGCACCAGTTTAGCTTCGTAAATTCAGCATTTTTTCCTCACTCGGCGTTGAGTTTTATGCTCGATTCTCATGCAAACTGCGCACAATGCACATGTTCGGCTGCTGCTTGTTGCACATGTTTGAAATGCTGCAAATGAAGCTTGTTTTTGGCATCATGGTGGAGATTAGAAGCAGATTTATTGCTTCTGTTATCTCACTTGGTGTTTGCTTTGTCGTCTTAAAGGTGTTATAATTCTCTAATACTTGGATGATGCCATTATAAACAGGATGTTAGATGAGGTGCATGTGGGCTGAGACTCCATGTGTTATAGATAAAGATAAGAATATAACTTGGTTGTTGTGATAACTTTAAATTAAGACAAACCCCCTGGAGGATGTTTTTTTTCACGAGTGCACCAGTTTAGCTTCGTAAATCCTGCATTTTTTCTTTCTCATCGTGTTTTTTCCTCTTGAACATCCTGCAAATCACTTCTATTGCACATGTTCGACAGCTGCTCTCTGCATCTGTAAAATCGGGTTGGAAATGTTGTATTTTTTGGCATCACTACAGGGAGACACGTGGGCTTGTATGTCTTCGCTATCTTACTTGGTGTTTGTTTAGTCGTGTTAGATGTGTAATAAATACGTGGAGTTGATCTTCACGATGCTTTTACAAACCTGCTGTTTGATAAGGTGCGTGTGGGCTGAGACTCATCCTGGGTCCATTTGTTCTAGATCAAGATTATAAAACTAGAACTTGGTTGCTGCACAAACTTTAAATCAAGACAAACCTCTGGAGGGTGTATTGTCATGTTTGCACCAGTTCAGCTTCGCAAATCCTGCATTTTTTCTTTCTCATCGTGGTTTTTCCTCTTGAGCATCATGCAAAGTGCTCACAGTGCACATGTTCCGCTGCTGCTGTGTGCACGTGTGAAATCGGTTTTGAAATGTTGTCTTTTTTGGGGCTTCATTATGCGGAGACACGTGGGCTTTGCATTCGCACTCGGTGGTGGTTGTTTGCGTGTGTGTCGTGTTTTAGGTGTAATAACCCTTTAACAACGGGAGTTTATCTCGATCATACCATTACAAACTCCATCTCATGCGATAGGTGCACGTGGTCTGGGTCTGTTTGGAATATGAAAAAAAATAAAAGTTTAAACGCAGGTTGGTGCAGTAACTTTAAATGTAGACGAAGCCTTGCAGGGAGTGTCCCTCATTGGACGGTCTCTTACCTGTACCCCCCCCCCTCTTACATGACATCAGCCTATTAAAATCAAGAGAATCTGAATCTCTACCGTGATGAGGTGTGATGGTTGAGTCGAGGGGCTGGAAAGCACCTTTCCACCCACCCCCCCCCACCTCTCTCCTCCTGCTGCTGACGACACGACGGTGACTCTGTGCGTCCGTGCAGGAGCCATCATCCTCATCATCCTCACCGCCACCATCATCATCCTCATCATCATCATGTTTACCTGCACGCACGGATAACAGGGGGGTGGGGGGCTGACAAATGGCCTGGACATAGATTTAAAAAAAAAAAGAAAGAAAAAGAAACGCATTATAACACCTGCGGCTCTCGACCGTGACCGGAACAGCATCCGCCTCCTGAAGCCTCGGTGTCTGGTGAGGAGCAGAGAGAAAGACCGCTCCAGATGTCAACTTGTGCAGGTAGAGAGGATGATTTCGTAGTTTTTTTTTTCCGCATGGATGCTCGCCTCCCTTCATTCTCGCGGGATTTATCTCATCGACACGCATTTCTGACCCACTTGTGCATCATCTCTCCTCTTTTATGTGCGTTTTGTTTTTTTTTCTGTGTGTGTGCGTGGAGTCGTTTTGGTCGAGTGCTCCCTGCAGCTGCGTGTGTGTGTGTGTGCAGGGAAACGAGCGGTGCACAAGGTGGTTATTCCTCTTATCCCTCCATCGTGCAGCGAGACAAACCCTCTCCATCTATTGTGTTGCGGTAATTCCTGAGACAACTGCACGCTGTGTGCGGAGGGGAATGGCGGTCAGTACCATTACTGCAGTGAAGGCGGGGTTGCTGCTTTTTTTCTGGACCGGAGACAGCCAGGTATACGCAAGGTGATGCAACACCTATGAAGGTGCATTTTAACCGATTTCCCCGAGACATCCTCTGGGCTCGGGGCAAAAATACACGAGGGGACTAATCCTGAGCGTGTAATCTGGTTTGACTTTGTTATAAATATGATTTTAAAATGAGATTACACAGTGTGGGAGGTGCGCATCTTGGTCCGTGTGATCGGCTGCAAGGGAAACAAATCTGCGTTTTCCTTTCGTTTTCAGTCTCGCTCACCTTCTGTATTTTTCTGATAGAGATCAGTTTCCAGCCCCATGACACAGACACTTCACCTCTTTACATTTCTAAAGAGCTGATCGGTGCCAAACATTAGCCCGAGCTAATGTACCATGACCAGCAGGCTGCTGCCATCAGCATCATTTGTACTTAACAATATATATGATTTGTCTAATTTGCACTTATTATGACATAGAAAGTGAGAAAACCTGATTTATATGGACATATCTTAAATTACCGACGGGACCCTAGATTCATTACACACATTTTAATGCTTTAAATCATTTCTGAGCCTGCTAACGTGTTCTCCATCTTATTATTCTCCAATTAATCAAAATGACCTTGTCTACAAATAATAATCATCTGTATTCATACTGCACGTTTCAAAACATTTTACAAGGTGCTTTACAAGCTGAAGGTAAACAATAGGACACAGTTAACAAGCAAACAATAAGAAACCATTAAAAAGGCCATTTGAAGAAAATAAACAGAAATGTTACAGATGAGAAAAGAGTCATAACACATTAACTGGTTTAAATAGATGGTAAGATTTGAACTAGGAAAAAGCACACAGATAAAAATGTGGATTTAAAAGAGGATATGGAGTTTGCGTGACGGATCTCCTCAGCAAAGAGTGGGAGCCAGGACAGAGAGGTTTAAGAATCGTTAGATAATAGTGAAAAGAGCCGTTACAATTCACCTGCACCTGCAGTTATCCAGACACGTCGGTCATTGTATATGCGAACTGTGTCGTCGACACTTGAGACACAGTGACTCTGCAATGACAGGTGTCGCTGCTGACCAGCAGTCTAAAATCCAAAGATAGAACAGTTTACTTATCTTTATACATGATAAAAGAAAAAGCACCAAGTTTGAATAAAGAAAATGGACTTTATTGCTCAATTTATCAGCTTCCAGAGACACATTTCCTGTCTGTTAACATCTATGTCCCTTTTACTCTGTACTTTACGGTAAAGGAGTTTCCCCTGTGACCCTATGCTTGGACCCCGGGTCATGCATGTGGGGCTGTTGTGTCGGCAGACATGTAATGGTGATGGCTGTGTTTCAGTTTCAGAGTTCAATTAAATAATACGTTAAACGTCAGTAAATGTTGTGTTTATTACGTCCACCACTGTCCTCACTTGAGAGTTTTCTTATTTGTGATGGATCGGGGCATAAAGTAGTGAATATTCTTTAATGGCTTAATCTGACGATCGTTTGTACAAGTAATCGATGCATTGCTTTAAATCTCCGTCACATGGATTATGTAATCCGTCATCCTTTTCTTGGTTGGAGGCAGAGTTTGAAGACAAATCTACTTCCACTATATATAATTTAAGATAAACATAATCATTGTTCTTCAGTGTTGTAACTTGAACTACTGAGAAACACGAGGAAAAAAAAGAGCTGCGTGTGAGAAACAGCTCAGACTGTGATTTGTCCTTGAATATTTTTTTCAGCTGTAGACTTCCATCTCCTTAAACCCACAAAACCTTGTGCGTTGAACTAATTTCCCGTTTGATCTCATCAGTAATGAGCCACATCTGAGTTTGTCTGAAACCGGCTCGAGACTCATTTTCTCACGTCCCTGCACTGTTACGTTGTGTTTCCCAAAATTCAAATATTTTTTCTCTGGTCCGTCTCAGCAAACAAACCCTAACCTGCCTGGTATTAATGGTAGTTGACAGTCAGTTGCACTTGCTCTACTTCTTCACAGAGATGATTTCCCTCCAGGCAGCAGCTGTAAACATGTCAGTGTAAAAGCCCAGTGAATGAGTGTCATCTTACTATCGGCCTGCGGAGACGCCCCAAAACTTTCACTTCTCCCTCGCTGCACTCGTTTTCGCCTAAATTAATAGCATTTAAGATTAAAGCAGATCACAAGACTGTTATTCCTGTGTTTTTTATGCACTCATACGTGATGTATGATATAGCCGTGT